CCACACTGTATGCCATAGACCAGATACAGCAATGTAACATCAAGCCTTGTGGGCACCGCCAATCATTCGCTCCCCAACGACATGTCGCCTTTACGCCGCTGCTTCCCTTTCCCCAATGGCGCGGGCTCATGCACACTGCCACGAAGTCAGAGCACACCGAAGACCACCACCATGTCCAAAGCATTGCGCCTGCCACGAAATCTGCACATGGACGTAAAAGCTGCTCCGATCTCCTGCGCCTGTCACGAAAAGTCAACTTTGGACCACTGCGCCTGTCGCGAAAGGCGATCACCAAGTCCCAAAGTGCGCACGGCGCTGCAACAAACGCGCAGTCTGGAAGAGCACCCGCTCGGCCAACCAGATTCTGCGCGCAGTCAAAATGCACGATTGGACACCCGGCTTTGATACCACTACCGTTTGGGGAAAAAGGAGATAAGCTGTCATTGGCCTATTGAAGCGTATTGAAATCAAAACTGGAATTGATCTGGAACTGGAATGCTTCTTGAGTTCAAACTCGGTGAGGCGGACGAGTCCATTTACCACTCGCCACTCGTGCACTCCAAGACTTGATGGGTGCTGAGTGGAGCCTGGAGCGTGGCGGCAACCGAGAAAAACAACTTGTGGTCCTGGTAAGGGCGCGTGATCCAACACTGTCATATAGACACCATGAGTCCGTGCGTGGAACGGTTTTGTGCCTGGTGCGGTTGTGCATCGCTTGTTGGCATGTGTGCGTTATTGCTAACTGCAGGCTTTTGTGCCAGAGTAGTTCGTATAAATTTGAGCGAACAAACTCATTCAAATTGTAGACTCGGAAATCCACAAATCTTAGCTGCACATCTTCTTGGAGCCACCTTAGGGTTTGCTGAGCCAGACCAAACTTGTGCTGTCTAAAGAAAAACGAGTATAGGAAGACAAAACTGAACGGGTTGGGAACCATGTTGAAACACCACTAAGAAAAGACTATAGAAGCTAAGAGCTGAGGAAATCATATCAGGAAGCAAATAGAACCCAAAGACTCGGTGACCGACCCGCCATGGATGGCGAAGAGGCGAGGGAGCCGGGCGAACGAGCCCCGTGTTTCACGGCGGGCACGGCGCGACGGGACGGTTGTGGGGGTGCGGATGTCCAGATTTTTGGTGTGAGACTCATCAGACCTTTGGTGTTGAGCATGAGGACAGTTACGAAGAATCTACAGGATATATTGCTCTTGAGATTGCGCACAGGATGATGATCAGTTGCAAGAGGAGGACTTGTTGTGATTTGTTTGTTTTTAAATGATCAAAGCAGTCTTCGATGTCTGCAAAATTGGCAACAGCACTGTATAGATATATACTGTATATATAGCTTCAATCAGATTCAGCTGGGAAACGCCGGGCACTTTAGAGCACAGGAATTCGAGGTCGAGGACATCCTCAGATACCGAAAGAATGAGGATGGCTCAGAGCACGCTTGGCATGTTTGGGTGGGTGGGTGGGTGGGTGTGTGGTGCGACCAACCTTCTCTGGAGCACGAGCTGTGGCATTCCAGGCTCTTCTTGGTGAAGTGGCAAGGCTATCCTGAAGATGTTCCCTTCTCAGCTGCCAATGTAGAGTCAACCAGAGGTTTTGACATCGACGCAAAGAAGTTCTTTACATTCCAGTGCAGTTTCAGCAATTGAGCCTTTCAAGTGCCGCAGAGTCCTAGAGATTCTGATTTCAGTTGAGCCGCAAAAGACGTTTGTGTATGTTACGGCTCCCAACTGTTCATCAGGATCATCAACAGGACGAACCAAAAACGCCCTCATCATCACCATATTCACATCTTCGTGGACACAAAGTTCCGCCGGAAACGCCGAGGAGTCCACCTGGGAGCCCTTGGCCCACATGAATGACAACTGTCGGGAACTCATCGCCAAGGCCGACCATTCGAACGCGCCGGGGGGGCTTTGGTCGGCTTCGTCGGGTGTGAGAGGGACGATTCCCCCACTATGAGGTCCTTGACCAAAAAGGCAAGAATCCGAGCGCCTCACAGGTTTTGGAATCATGATTCTCTCTCTCTCTCTTTTTTGATGGGAGGCGTCGGCCGAGAGGCCAAACCAGCTGGTTCAGCTGGCCCGGAATCTCTGATTGATCTTTGGCCACTGGTCTCTTTCTTGGGGGTAGCAAGAAGCTACCAGGGTGGAGGCCATTGCTACTAGTAGCAAGAAGCTACTAGTAACCCGGGCGGGGTTCTTTTGGAACTCCAAATGATCTGGGCTTCCCGGGCCCGAACAAGCGGGAGGCCCGGGCGCTCTTCGCCTGGCGGCCGAACGGCGATCAGTGGGGAAGCTAAGCGTTCCATAGAGTCAGCGAACTCAGAGTTTACAAAGTATTTTCTGTATGATGGAATGATGGCTATGCTCTATGATTTTTGCTCTTAATTTGATTGTACATCGTTTACCAAGATTGTCCAAGACATGACCTTAGACAAGTTCACCGCCCAACAATCTCACATCAACCCCCCCAAATCAGGCCCCCCAACCTAGGAAGCATCCACAGGGCATGTAAGACTTGGTAAGATCTCCTATGTGCCTTGGTGTTGACCAACAAGCACCCACTCCCGCTTGGAGCACACAATTGAGCTTGAAAAGTTCTCTTTTGCTGGTCCAAATGAAGACACAACTGGGCTCGGCGGCTGCGCGGGCTGCGCCCGGTGCACTCCAGGTCCAGCTCCGGTGAGGTGGTCGTGTCCTCCTCGGGGCACGTGCCCGCGAACTCCGCGTCACCCAACTCCACGGCAGCAGAGGTCGGTGGGTTGTGGGTCCAGAGTGGGTTGTGGATGGAAAGAAGCCCAAAGTGCCAACTGAAACATGTTTGCCACCCCAAAAAGCAGGCTATTGTTTTTTTTAATGTGCTGGTCATGCTTGCTTTCGAGCGACATTAGGGGACATCAGGGGCTTTGGCTGGTCCTTTTTTGAAGGATTTCCAAACGGGAGTTCAAGAGTTTTCTGATCTCCTATCTCGGTAATTATATTGATCTTGATGTAGAATAAACGAACCAAGAAGGCAGGTGGATGTTGAGCTTGCTTCTCTAAAACGCAAAGCGCACCTGAAGTGCGGCAACAGGACACAGCGTGCATGTCTTAAAATATGGATGATTGTATGCAGTATATAGATGCATACAGGTATAGACCTAGACTGCCCCAAGCGCAACAAATGACTTGGAGGCAACTACTTCGAGTGTCGCAATTATTGAGGAAGACAAGGAGGATGCCCAGGCCTGTTGTGATGCAGAAGCAACATGTACTCCTTTTCTGAGTTGGGCACGTGAACAGCAAAACCTGCCATGCTTCACTCGGCTCAATGAAGGCTCTTTCTTGGGTTTCTTGTGTATCCTGGATGTGTGGGGCTGTTTCATTGCCCTGGGCCTTTGTGAAAGGCTGCTGGTGGACAGCCGGGTCGGAACCTCAACATAGATTGAGCACTCACTTGGTTTCATTTGGGGACACCTTTCTGCCTTTATGTGCGCGATGCCCATTTGTCGATCGCAGACGTTGAGGTCTAGAAGAAGCTCTTGGACAGGAAGAGGAGGAAGAGGAGGAAGAAGACACGGAGGCTGAAGATGCACGGGCGCACGGCCTGTCCAATTGTTTTGAAGAACTTTTTTTGGTTGCCATCCTCATATATGTGTATATATATATATATGGAAGTGTATAAATATATATATATATGTTGTACATTTGTATTGTACAAGCCTTCAGTGTGTGCAATGATCCACCAGTCAAGGATTCGTGATGGTCTTTCGTTTGCAGATTCTTGCCGTCCAGATTTCCTGAGGTCGGTGCGCCGGTACCAGCGCCTGCAGGCTCGACCAGGGAAAGTTGGTGGATTTCTTTTGCCTTGACTTGGCCTGAGCCACGGGGCTTCAGGTGATGAGGAGGTCAGTATCATCGAAGATGATGAGCCTCCAGCCACGTCCAGCCGGAGCCCCTAAAAGCGCAGCCAGAGCGCCGCAGCCGCATCGACCCGAGATCCAAGCCAGTGAGGTGGGCGAAGTCCGGCGCTCGAGCCTGCGAAGTCGGGGACCTCAGGAGGACCTGCTCAGTCCATTTCAAAGGCGGAAGTGAAGATTGGAGCTGGTGGTTTCACGTGGTGTCATGTGGTTTCGACACATGGTCAAAAAGGAGCATGGACAGTTTGGCCTACCCGACCAACTCAACGGTTCAGCTGATTACAAGGAACATTTTGGTGGCTTCACCAAAAATATACGTTGACTGGCAGAGCCAAACAGCACCACAAGAATTCAATTGACCCTTCGCTTTTGAGAAAAACATTCCGTTGTCGATCCAACAGAACACAAGACCCCTTTTGATGCAACAATTCTTGAAAAAGAACACACCAGATCCGAGATCCGAAGCAAAAAAACCACGGCCCTGTGGGGGGCCGCTGTCAACCCCCCCCCCCGAATGCCTGACGCCGAACGGTCGGTCCCCGAGGCGACCCTTCGACCCCAGCGGCTTTGTGGGGGCGCCCTCCGACCCGAGGCCGGGGGGCCCGAGACGATGAGATCTGATTACAGAGTATTCTTGTTTCTACTAGCTTTATTGTTACTACTAGTAAGGCACTTGTTACTAGTAGCGATGCACTTGTTCCTAGTAGTTTATTGTTTGTATTTAATTCTTGTTTCTACTAGCTTTATTGTTACTAGTAGTAAGGCACCTGACCTGTTACTACTAGCGTGGCACTTGTTACTACTAGCTATATATTGTTGACGTTGTCTGATTTTAATACATGGTGAATACGTGAATGACATGGGGTGTCACCTGCTATGCCGCAATCCCATGGTTGATTCGGAGGGAGGGCTTTCTTCGGAGGCTGTAGACGAATGACCATTCCTGTAGATGCTGCGAAGAGTCAACCAGTGGCAAGTTAATGTATGTTCACATGCTGGAGTGTTAACAGCAAGTTCATGACCCATGTTTCATGACGGAGACCCAGACTGCTTCAGACCCCTTCTTCCCCACTTCCACCTCCTCAGGATGAAGCGCCCAAGACTGTCGGGGCACCTCAGACTGTCGTTTTGGGGGGGGTGTGGCCCGTGGCGGGTGGGGCGCGCCGGGGAAATCCGGCTCCCTTGCGCCGCAACGAGGATCCCACCCACGGTGGAGATGCCGTTGGGGAGCGGTACCTGGGAGGCTCCAGTGCAGCCAGCCAAGGCAGGTGGTCGTACCGTGCGCTGCGGCCGTTCTTCGGTGCCCGGAGTGGTCAGGTCCTAGAACCTCCAAGAGCTTCGGCTCCTTTTTCGTGGGTGAGAAGCAGGAGTCACGGACTCGTGTAAGGTGTGTGCCATGGATCAAACTCGTTCCCAACGGTGAACTGCTGCCAACTACTGTTGACCAGGGTGCATGGACACCGCTTCCAAAGACTCCTAAACCATGTGACCACTGGGACCTTCGCCTTTTGCACTCTCAAAGTCGACTCTCAACGGCAACGATGTGGTCAAACATGTCTTCAGCTCTCCCTACCCCCGCACACTCCAACTGGATTGGGGCTACCGGCTTCTCGCGTTCGGCTTCTGCGGCTTCTCGCCAGGTCCCAGCGCCAACCACCCGGCCTGCCACCAACGGGGTGCGCCATGCGCCGCCCAGCGGTCCGACCTCCATGCCACGGTCGCCTGCGAGCATAGGCGCCCTGGAGCTCGGAGGGGGAGAGAGCCGGTGCGTTTGTTTCTTCTCCAACGCTCCAAAACAGCCGACTGTTCGTTTCTTTTTTTGCAAAACACTCCACCTGGAGCCTGTAACATGCTGTCTCTGTTTTTTTTGAATAGTATCATATATATATATATATATATACACATAGCGTTGCAGAAGATCCCCATCCACTTCAGACTCTTCAGGGTGCAACCGTGACAGGCCAAGCGCATGAAGCTCACCTCCCCGAGCCGCCCAAGGAGCCGCCAAAGCCGCCGCCCAGCAAGGGAGCCCGGTGGAGCCGGGTCACATGAACTGGTTCGCATTTGATTCATGTTTCTGACCAGTGGGGAGAGCAGCTAGGCGGCTGAAGGTGAGAATTGGGATCTTTGTACGGTAGACTTAAAAGGAGACACCTAACTGGGGGGTTTGGTGGGTGCCTGGGAAATACGGACAGCCTCTTGACTGCCTTTGCGTCTCAGTGTCCTTTTAGGTCGAAGATTTTCTAACAGGAGTCATTGAGGGGTTCCAGCTGATGAACTTTTGTGAGCACTCTTTGGCCAAGTTTCCGCTTGGCTGTGAGGTCGGGAAATCAAGTGCATTTGTGGATTGACCGAACAAATTGTACCAAACAGCGTGCGGCCTCAGTCATCGGCGCCCTCAGATGCAAAGATGGCAATAGAATTAAACGTATATTCTTGTGTGGTCCTGGGAATTTCCAGTTTATGTTAAATTGGCATGCTTTCTGTGGAACACACTGAGTTTACCTCCGCTTTGGCATGGAGAAAAAGACACCAACACCCCAAATATGCGCTGAACACTCAGGCCGCCCGGGCTTGATTGTTTGTCGCGTGTGCAACTGCACCTGGGACTGCAAGTTGGGGTCCACCGGGCTCGACCAGAACAGGTCTTCGAGGATGGAGACTTCGGTTTGGTTTCCTGGTTTCCTTGGGTCCTCGGAAATGAGCCCACCCAAACCATTAAAAGGCGGCTGGCGGATTCAGCTGGTGTCACTCCAAATATAGGCGGGGCTCAAGTACATATCCAGAATCCACAGGTTTCGGTCGATTTGTGCCCTATCTGGAACCACAGCCCAAGTTAGGCCCCCGCACTTGAGAGTCTGGATGGTATGTTGGGTGTCTGTGGGTCTTTGAGAAACTCGCACGCGCGCGCGCGCGCGCCTTCAGGTTCTCTCCACACAAACTGCGCCAAGCTCAGTGGTGCCGAGCATGAACCTGTGACGAACGGAAGACGCTGACTGATGCTGCACCGTATCCGCGCGCCACACACCCGGCGACCTCCTCGGACACGGCTTTCGCTCCGTGTGCCCACTCAGTCGCGCGCGTCGCGCGAGTCGCCGTTCAGGTGTGTCGGGAGCACTGCACAAAGCGGTGTCACTGGGCTCAGATTGGGTCAGCCAGCACCGCTTGGAGAAGTCTCCGGGAGGTTTAAAATCCGAATCGTTGTCTCGTCTTGGTGCTTCGCAACCAGGGACCCAACTGGAAAAAGGTGTATATACTATATATCGCTGGTCCTTGTGATTCAGATTGATTAATGGTTTCCATTGTCTCAGAGAAAACGAGAGAAACATGTCACATGTCTTCTCTCTTGGTCCTTGTTCCATTGTCTTAGACACCACTGTGTTCCCGTTGATCACGCCTTTTTCATTGCGCTGGACAACTGAATCACAGGTGGAGAAGTCGGAGAAGAGCCTTTTTCCGGCTGAAATGACATCCTCAATATTAAACACGCTGTTTTGCGCTACCAGGCTGCTGGTGCTGGACCGACCATGAGCAAAACAACCAGAAACGCACATGAACATACGTCAACATACATCAACACATCCCGCGCACCACACACACCCGCAGTGCTTCTTTCCCTGTGCTTTCAACCTCTTGTGGATGAACCTGACCACTGCGGGTGACTGAGGCCCGCACATTTCGTGTGTCCACCCTGCCGCCTGGATCGGGTGGATGAGCCGAACCTGCTCGCTTGGAAGAGTGGTGCCAGTTGTGAACCGAAAAAAAGTGATGCGTGCGCAAGGAGTGGTTGGTATGGATGAGCCAGAGTTCTTTTTGTTTTGTAAACTGGCTTCTAGGTTCGAGGCCATTGCTATTAGGTTAGAGGCCCTCGCTTTTGGGTTGGAGGCCCTCGGATTGAGGTTGGAGGCAATGGCTTTGGGTTTGAGGTTGGGTGTCTCTTCCCTTTGGCCCTTTGGGTTTCCATTTTGGGTTTCGCAACTGAACGGGGCCTTCACCGTCATGTCGTTCGCGCAGGTTTCACCCCTCCGTTGGCGCTGGCGTGCTGAAGCACAGTTACGCTTCGAGCACCTCAACGCCCGGGAAGCTCAGGAGGTTCTGCTGTTTTGAAAACGAAAAACATCTCATGTTCCTTTTATATCCTCCATGTTTTCGCGCTCTTCAAGGTGCTAATTTTCAGGTTTGGCACCATGCAGGGAGTCCAATTGCCTCTAGGCCGGGCAACATTAGTTTTATGATGTTTTATGGGATGGCGCTGGGGGACTAACCATCTAGTGTCCAGAATTGTCACCCTTCTTCTGCAGCCTCTGAGGTTCTCTTTGACCTTCGCAGCGCAGGCTCTGTGTTGATGGGGACTTTGCAGGGCTATACATAATTGAAATGGAACCAGAGGCAGTTGCTTTGAGACCTTCGCTGTTGTGAGACCTTTTGGACATTCACATGCAGGGTGCACGTAAAGTCATGCAGGGTGCCTAGGCCATCTCATCTGGGTTGCTCCCAGCAGGTAGGTAGAATGTAGATGTGTAGCACCGAACAGAGGGTTCAGGAGTTCATATTGTATGTACGTGTCAGTACGTTTCTGGAAACAGACCAGGTGGAACATCCAGTGCTGCTTGCTTGTGAGTACGTCTCTTCCGGACAGACTCTGCGGAATTCCCTTCCCACCGCATCAATCCCCGCATTCCTCGGTTCCTGGCGGTTTCCAGGCCGCGCATTGGAAGAAACAATGCTGGGCGGTTCACCTGCGGGCCCCGGAGCTTGGAGCGCGACCTCGGAACCCGTGCGACCCGTCGGATCGGCCGCGTGATTTGTGGGGGACACGAGTCGCTTTGGGAGTCCTTCTTGTTTGGGGATGCACGGTCTGTCACTCAGTCGAGTCGCGGCCCGTGGGTTCCACGAGTCGTGACCCTTTGAGCCCACCGAGTCGGTGCACATCCACGGGGGTGACTTGAGCGGTCCTGCTTGGCCTCACAAAGTCCAGGTGCGGAACACCGCCGGAAGAGCGGTCGGCGCGTCGTCTTCGTGTCGGTTTTTTTGGAGAAGAAGGGAGAGGTGGAGAAGGACTAAGGAATCGAGCCACACTGTGCCATACTGTGCCATAGTCTCAACTCTGGACCCCAAATCATATTGGAGTGACATGACTTACGCATGACTTTACATCAAACGCATGAACTGATTACAGTTGGGTACGGGTCCTCATGACTGCCATATTTCCAGGGCAAGATGAATGGTCGGCAATGCGTGGCCATCGAGCCGCCCAAGCACCTCCATGTCACTTGGTGGAACCACTTGACGACACAAGATGTGGGGGAGGAGTGTGTGGAGAAGGGGAAGAAGGACAAGATGAAGACACTTTTGTTCGTTTTAGTTCTATATTTCGATTCTATATAGATATGTTTTATTAATCTTTATCTTTTTCTTATCAATTGAAACATACAATGATGCTTATCATTCTCTCTTTTTGGAAAGAAGCACATGTTTGTGTGCGGCCTAACTTGTCCAACTGGTGGAAGACTCATATGACCCTTGGCGCGGGTCTAGAGACCCACGCGACCTGGGCTGGAGCGGATTATCGCCTTTTTTAGAGGAAGGTGAAGAAGTTGGGAGAGATGGGAGTGGATGAACACGGTCACCTACTTAAGGTGGTCTCCCGACCGCCTTTTCGCCTCAGGGCTCTGGACCCAAATGCACCAGAAAAGAACATCACCTTTAGGTCGGGGTCCGTATTATAAACCACCAAACTTGGGATAACTTGTGCACTCTGAACAAGGACGCTACTAGGGGCTCCTGGCCTTACTACTAGGAGCAAGGACGCTACGAACGGGGCTTCGTTTTCTGTTTCACGAACAAAATCCTATTCCGCAACTCTCCATTCTTCTGAAACTTTTCTTCCGCAACTATTTGGTACTCTTCCGCAACTACTCTTCAGAAACTATTCTTCAGAAACTATTGCGCGATCTTCAGAAACTATTTTGCGATCTTCAGAAACTATTTTGTGATTTTCGATCTTCAGAGACTATTTCGCGATCTTCAGAAAGCTAACTTTAGAAAGTATTCCTCAGAACTTTTACAATGTTGCAACCAATTTGCATGAAGGAGCACTGGGTGGGTGGGGGGTGGGTGGGGGGGTAGGTGGGTGGTATATTGACGTACCTTGTAACGGCTACGGTATATACATGCTTGTTTTGCGATCTGCAGAAAGATTTCCGTGCAGGTTTGATGTTGCTTTTCGACTCTTTGTAGTTTCCGAACATTAGTTTCTGAAGAACACCGTAGAGTTTCCGAAGAATAGTTTAACAGTTTCCGAAGAAAACCTTAAAGTTTCCGAAGATCACTTTTGAGTTGCCGAAGATTAGTTTCCATTTAACAGTTTCCGAAGAACACCGTAAAGTTTCCGAAGAAACCGCATAGTTTCCGAAGATTAGTTTCCGAAGAAAGCCCTAAAGTTTCCGAAGATCACCTTCTAGTTTCTAAATAAAACTTTGACCTCTGTTTCACCGATGGAGCGTCCGCCGACCGCGGACCGAGGTGCGTCGAGAGCAGTGCTACAACCTCACGCCTTTGCTCAAGCAAGGCCGGAGTTCGGCGTGAGGCCAAACGCACTCGTTCGGAGTTCGGGCGAGTCGGCGAGTTTGTAACATTCCGAACATCCCCGAGAGGCCGAAGGGGCACTCATTGAAATGCTATTGGCATCCACTTCTTCATCTCCTTGTGTTTTGTGTTGCTTCTCTCCTCCTCCTCCTCTTTCTTCCTCCCCAAATGGTGTCCTTGGTCGAAAGCGTCATCCACATTTCCCAGGCCTGAACACGCTGGAGCTGCGCTTCTTCCCGAAGCCAGACAGGGCGAAAGATGAACCGGAGGACAGTTGGCGGAAGCTGAATGCTTGAGCGAACGGAAGATTTTAGCGCTTGCAAGAACACAGCAGAAGATCCCAAGTAGATTGACAAGTAGACAGTAGACAATTCATTTGGACATGGTTTTGCCGTGGTTCCAGCTAAAGTCGCGCAACACCCCCAGAAATGAGTCTGTGAAAAAAGCACTGACCGCCCATGCTCGACTCCTGGCAAGCACTTAGGAACCAGAGACTCGATGGGGGCTTTGTGTCCGTCCACCGGGAAAAGAGCCTTGTTCTTGCTTGTTGGGTCTGTTGCGGTTCCCCATAGTGGTAGCGGAGCCCGGTTCCGACCGGGTTGGTTTTTGGGGAAAGACTCTTTTTCTTGGTGGATCCTGAGCGGTTAGGTTTTTGGGATGGCCGAGCGCACGGTCGTCCCGCCTTCAGATGGCGACTTGGACGAGCCACCTGGCAGCGGGTCGCCGCCTGCTGGTTCCTTTGGGGCTCACGGTGGGCAGGACGCACTTGGGAGTGACCGGGAAACCTTCGCTCGGCTCCAACGCTTCGTGCAAATGGAGAGTGAACAAGAGGGTCGCGGTCCGCTACGTCATAGGCGCGGGTAGAAGATGAAGGTGAAGATAGTCGAGAAGGAAGAGGGGCTTCCGGACCTCCACCAGCCTGGGATGGACGAACCCCAGAGCACGATCAAATCAAGGCCCAGTTGTGGATCGCGACTACCAAGGACAAGGCCAAGTCGCGAGGGCCCTTGTTGTTGAAGATGCTAACAGGAGCACCCTTCGAGCTGTACAAGCACTGGGCAAAAGATCCTGCCTGGCTCGGAGATCCACAAGGTGCTGAGCGTCTTCTTGAAGATATGGACAAACCTGAACGTTTTGGAGATGACCAACAAGAGCATATGTTGACCGCCATGTCCCGCATCACGTACCACCTCCGGAGACGGAAGAATGAAGCCTGGAGAGAATACTTCGCCAAATGGGACAATGCAATTCGCAAGGTTCAGCAACACAAGATCGTGCTCCCACCTGAGTATGAAGGCTTCTTGATGATCAATGGGCTGCAGCTGACAGAGAGCGACGCCAAGGCCCTGTTGCACACACCCATGGCTGCATCAAGCCCAGTTCAATCAAGGGCTGGCTGAGAAAGAACGAAACCAAGTTATCCGCTTCAGAACTTGGAGCTGATCGCAAGAAAGCAGTTGGCCTCTTTCACACTGAGTATGATGGGGTGTACGCCACCGAGGAGGTCCCTGAGGAGCACGGCGCAGACCAGGAAGAGATCGACAACATCGAGCACTACATTATGGAGCTACAAGATGAAGGGCGTTCTGAAGACACCGAATCTGAGGCGGCAGAGGTTCTCTCCACCTACCTCCAACAGAAGAAGACGTACACCCAGTCGATCAAGGACAAGAAAACGAGAGAACTGGCCCGAGGCTATGGGACGGGTCGTCGAACGACCTTTCATGGCTCCAATCGAGGAGATCGAGACCGGCCTCTCCGACCTGGATCGTACTCAGTGACCATTGCCGAGCTGCAGACAAGAACTCAGTGTGGCCAAGTCGTTCACTGGAAAAGGGATTGCAAGAATCCCCCGATGAAGCCCGGCAGCTCATCATCGATGAACACGTCCACACCATTTGGAAAGCACACCTGAGGTGCATTTTGTGGGCAGCCTGGAGATCGCGAACCACAAGTACCAGAGCAGCTCCACTACGTAGTGTACCAGCACCTCGACTTCTGAGACGACGAGGACAAGCCGACCATTCTCTCGTCCACTGAGCCGACCATCCGGAGGAAGGCCACACCGGCTGTACAGATCTAGCTAGTGGATCCGTTCACGGTCCGTCCGCCCGATCATATATGGAGAGTGACACTGTGGTGGGTTTGGGAACTAGTAGATATGAGGGTATTGGTGTTGGTGGTCTATTTTTCTATGAAAACATGTTTTGCGATCTGGTATCCCAGTATTCCCAACAGACCCCAGATGATGCCACCTGTGCCACTGTTGACGCCGGATGCCAAAGACTTGCAGTTGGAGCCACGACCTTGACGAAATTTGGTGATCATCTACCACCAGAGCTGAGGATCACGATCCACCCCGAGACCAACAGGTTCAGGAGCGTTCATCAAAGCAGTTTCTTGAAACCTGCGGTCTTTGAGAGCGACGAGAGCACCAACGCCCCATTCCTCCTGTCCCTCAGCTTCCTCCTTCATTGTCATGGTGATGTAGGATTGTGTCTGGGTTAAGGTCCCCAACTTCGACTTCGTGGGAACCAGGAACCAGTACCCCTACATCTTGGACCAACTGGAGCACTTCGTATTCCTCCGCAACAGTTTACTACAAAGGGCCCAATCAAATGTCTGAGGAGGGCATTGTCAGAGGAGAACATGGCTCTTTCTGGATGGCTCGATGACATCGTCAAGATCAAGAAGGATCTCCATACGGAACCGGTACGAGGTTTTCTAGGCCTCTCCGATCAACCACTTCCACCAGACATCGAAGATGAAGCCCTCCAGAAAGACCACCAATAGAACTACCAATGGCTCCCATATACGAAGGACTTCAAGAACCGCTTGGATATCCACCTCCGGCAAAGAGATACCGGACCAAAGCACCGCAAGAAAACCTACATCCTGACCAAGGAATTGAACAAGATGAGTTTCCTCAAGAAGAGCTACAAGAAGAACAACAGGCAAATACCAACACAGGGAAACCAGCTGGGACAAACAAAAAAGAGTTCAACGACGAAGAACTACAAGAACAACCACCGACGAAGCGACTACGGCACGAGCACCTCGAGATCTACACGAACAAAGTTGAGAGCTTGATGAAAACAAGACAAAGAAAGGAAATCCGCCTTCAAGAACTCAGCACCAAGAATCAGAAGTGCTTTAAGGCGGCTGTTGGCAAGGAGTTCAACAACAACATCAATATTGGCGCCTACTCGATCGTCTCCCCTGAAGAGTCCGCCAAAGTTCGACAAACCATGCCACACCGCATCAAGGAGAGCAGACTGGTCCTCACACCAAAACCACTAGAACCTCATGAAGTAGAACCGGCAAAGCAAGAAGGAATCCTACTTGACTGGGACTCGGAGGAACCATGCAAGGCCAAGGCCAGACATGTGATGAAAGGATTCAGTGAGGAGGGCTCGGAAGACATTGAAGCAACGACTCCTCAAGTCACACGAGAAGGAACTCTCATGGTGACACAACTGGTGGCAAGCCACAAATGGAAGCTTGGCTTTCTGGACTTCACTCAAGCCTTTCATAGTGGAGACGCTATAGACCGACTTTTGTATGCCACTCCACCTCGCGAAAAAGTCTGCTACGGCCTCACAGATGGTCCTTTTGGCATGGTACAACCATCTCAAGAAATTCTTGACAGGCCAGCTGCAGTATCAACAGTCCTTAGCGGACCCTTGCGTCTACTACAAGCACAAGCACAATCCCCAGAGCGGGACAATGGTACTCAGTGGCGTCATTGCCGTGGCCACAGATGATCTTCTACATGGAGGTGATGAAGAACATCAAAAAGCAATGGACCAGATCAAGAACAAGTACAAGCTTGGTAAGTTCCAGTATGGAGCTGGAAAGTTTACGGGCAAGATGTTCACGCAACAAGAGGACTTTAGCGTCGTCGTGAACCAGGAAAACTACATGCAGGAAAAGCTCTTCGAAATCAACCTTGAAAAACAACGAGAGAAAAAGAGATACACCTTCTGTGATGAGAAAGAAATCACGCAACTTCGTGCCAGCATCGGAGCTTTAGCTTGGCTAGCCAAAGAAAGCCGACCTGACATCGCAGGACGAGTGGCCTTACTCCAGCAGGTGTTCCCACGACCAAGCATCAAGGACATCATCGAGGCGAATTCCATCACTCAGGAAGCCCGGAAACACCCCGCCAGCGGCATCAAGATCATGCCGATCGAGCCAGAGAACTTGAGGATTGGAGTAGCTACCGATGCTTCGTGGTCAAACGCACTGGGAGGAGCAATCTTCTCACTGGATACGACATCATGTCACTCCTAGAAGAATCCTCTTCCACCCAGGAGCTGAACCAGGACCAGATCTTCATGACCTACAACCAGGCCGAAGAACAATGACAACAACTGAAGAGGTCCTAGAAGATGAATGGACAAAGGGAAATAGTGTCAGAACGTGGTCTGATACACCATGGACGGCCAGACCATCTTCACAAAACAACTTCCAGGACATGAGCTTGAACATGGAAAGATCAATGACACCTTCCTCAAGCTCTTGAATTGCAGCAGCCAAGGAGGCTACGCGATGATCTTCTATGACAAGAGGATGGAGACAGAAGACAAACCACATATGGTTTCAGTGACCTCATGGAAGTCAACAAAACTCAACTAGGAAAACGGTCAACACCCTGAGCGCCGAATGTCAGTCACTGGTGCATGGCATTGGGCCATATTCATTGGCGCTGCTATCTCCTGCTCGAACTGATGGGCACGATCATGGAATCCAAGGATTGGGAACGGCATTTGGCAGCCATCCCCTATGTCTCAGTAGTTGACTCTCGGTCGCTATACGACTGTATCAACAAACTGGTGTGTACCTATTCTCAGGTTGAGGACAAGAGAACGGCCATTGACGTAGCCATCTTGAAAGACGATCTTTACAGATCGGGGGGTTTCTTACGTTGGGTTGCTGGTGATAACATGATCGCGGATCCCCTTACGAAGAAGATGAATTCCGACTTTCTTAGGTGTGTTTGTAACTCAGGATACTGGTCACTCTCCGAAAAAGGCCATAGAACCCAATGCGCAATGCATGACGTTCTCTTGGTCTCGCTTGGCCGTTAGAGTGGGCCGGTGTGAAAAAGCACTGACCGCCCATGCTCGACTCAAGGCAAGCGCTTAGGAACCAGAGACTCGATGGGGGCCGGGGCTTTGTGTCCACCGGAAAAAGAGCCTTGTTCTTGCTTGTTGAGTCTGTTGCGGTTCCCCAATTTCATAGAGTCTTAGATGACGACGGGGAACGTTGCAAACGAAACTCTTGAGAGCTTGTGCTATATACTCTGAAACCAACCTGTTTGGTGTGTCACCTTTTGACCTATCTTCATCACCTGGTGAGCCCATGTCTGTCATGGCTGAACAGCAGCATCATCGCCGCATGGCAGGAGAAGTACTGCGTCGGCGTGGTGCTAACTCGTCCAAGGCTCCTGCAGGGGTCCTGCGGAGACAGTCGGCCCTACAGGTCATTTTATCCTTTGATTCTGGAGAAGTTGGCAGTTCCAGATTCTCGAAACGTGTTGTTCCTCTGGGTAAACCGGTGCTTCCGTATTTGGGAGCCATAGCCACAGGATATTGCGTGGTTGTTGTGACCACTATGGCACTATTGGGCTACACAGACTCGTTGAAGGAAGATTGATAAGGAAGGTGTCGACTATTTGTCCTCTGCAAGACAAACAAGGAATTACGGTACTAGTAGGAACAAAAAACTACTAGGGGTTCCCGGGCTCCTGGCCTTACTATTAGGAACAAGGACGCTACTAGGGGCTCCTGGCATCGCTACTAGTAGCATTCTTACTACTAGTGACAAGAGGAATTACTGTACTGGAGCTGTTCGTTTGCTTTCATTCATCAAGAATAGGTTGCTCTGCTGGTGCACAAGGGGGATATCCCGGAGATGCTACTGGATTCCAACCTTTGCGCTCCTGCTCTGCAGCATTTTTTATGCTCAGCTCAGCGGCGCGATGGCTTTTTATGCAGAGGGCTCACCACTCTTCAAGGATGATGTTTTCGGGAAGATGTTGGGGTTGAAGCTGGTTTTGGATGTTTTTGCTTCTGCCCGGGTCATGCGGCTGATCCGAGAGCCCCCAACAATCATGTGGGTCTGAACGGAGGTGAGAAGAGTTCCTCATCCACTTGGAGCGAAGGCATGTGAACACCAGCAGCGTTCCTCCTTTTGACACCTCCAGGAGTGGCTGGAGCTCGCTGGAGATGGCTTGTCAAGAGCATCATTGCCTCCGCTGAATGCTGATGATGCGCTTGTGATCATTGCCGCTCAGCTGTTCACTGGGAGGGGCAATTATTTTTGTTTCCCAGGCACGTAACAAACATGCCGCACACTGGTGGCTGGTCTCAGGGGTCCTCCTGCCGGCTTCGGAGTTTCTAATCAGGTTTGCCAGAACGCCAAGTGCATTGGATTGCTGACCCAGCAAGTCCGATTTCAACCCATGTCAAGCACTGCGCTGTTGCACTTCATGATTTGGACAGGAACGTCGTAGCTTCTTTGCGCCACGAAACCGGCGAAACCGGGCGAGTTCGCCTCAGGACATGCAAGCGGACTTTGTGCCGAAGTCGCCGCCCCTGGACTGCCAGTTTGGTCGACCAGGTGACCATGTCCACGACCCCTGTTGGACGTGGACATGGACGCTGTTGTAAAGGACTAGTCCTTCGCAGGGGGGTCCCTTCTCCACTTTCATGTTAGTGAGTTGGATGTTGGAGGAGAAGTGATTTGGGAAGAGGAGACCAAAGGACATGTCTCATATGTTTTGCCCCTCCAGGATCTCATGACTGTCATGTCTCATATGTCTCGCCCACATCAACCATCAGCCCCACCGTGTGTCCACTCCTTCACCCCACCGTGTGTCGTGTTTGGCTAGCCGAACCGTCTGCCAAACCATTGCACTGTGAGGAGCAACCCGCATGGTGGGCGTTTTGGGGTGGCGGAAGGCTCCAACGTGATCCCCTTGATCGAAGCGTTGGTGGAGCCTTGGTGGAATCGTTTCACCTGTAACCGGAGGCCTGTTCGTAGCGTCCTTGTTACTAGTAGCGATGCCAGGAGCCCCTAGTAGCCTTCTTGTTACTAGTAGTAAGGCCAGGAGCCCCTAGTAGCGTCCAACAGCTTTTTAGTATGTCTTTGATCGCTACCAGGTAGCAAGAAGCTACTAGGTGGAGGCCATCGCTATTGGGGGGTAGGCCGTCTTTAGGTAGTAGCTAGATTGGACGAATTGGTCCAGGTGATGTGGGGGGCAGGGAGGTCACCATAGACCGTCAAGCAAGACATAGGTGCACCCAAGAGAACTCCAACAAATAAATCAACAAGACATAACCCCATTTTCCTTTGTTTAATAGACATCCAAATGGACCTTCTGGAAGGCCTTGGTGATGGAGGGCTTTTGATTTGTGCTTGGGACTCAAGCAAAGCAACATGGCCGGGCCAGTGGGTGATTTAGATCTGTCGAACCTAATGAGGAGACGTAGGGGGACACTTATGGCATTGTATGTTCCTCCATCCCTTCCTCCGAAACCACGACGAAACCAATCGCAGGACACTGCTATGACCAGTGGCAGCTGCGTTTGTGCCACAAGGGCATCATGGATGCAAAGCATGCGAGACAGTCTCGTCGGACTTGAACAAGTTTTCACGCATGCGGGACAGGTCTGTTCAAGGTCGCAGGCAACATGCTATATGTTGGCGACATGCTCAGGTTGCTGGTTTTTGAGCCATTTGGTTCTCCAAAGCACGGAGCTTCACGAGTTCAGCTCAGGACTATCACCCCCATGATCACTGCTCCTTCATGACCTGTGGCGGTCCATTTCCTCCGCATTGTCTGCAGGGTAGCATGGGGAGCTGCTAGGCCGAACAGTTGCAGGAACCTCCTTGTTCTCTCAGAAAGCGAAGTGTCACCCATGTTGCGATTTCTGTTGTTCGAATCATTGACTGCTTCGCATGCTTCATCCTCTTATTTGATCTCAGGCTATTTCGAACCGCGCATAGGACCCGTTTGTGGGGAGAGCCGGGTGGCGCCACGCGGGCGCATTTTTGGTTGGCTCGCGTGGAAGTATATATCGAAGCAAATCTCTATGATGTAGAGTCTATGATCGAATGAAGCCGCCCCACGCCTGAAGTTTTACTGTCCAATGTGTCTTTTTATGCATCAAGAGTAGACAATACTTGAATTAGGGTTCTCACTTCAAGTGCAATTACGGGAGAATTTGAAGGGCCGAGAATGCTTGATGCATCAAACTTACCACAGGAGCCAAGCTGACTCAAGCAATTCAGCAGAACCAGGAGAACGTGATGGTGGCGTTCAAGGCATCAGAAGTCTGTGAGAAACACCGGACATTGGATTGGGACATCCTGAGAAGCCGATTTGCCCTGCCCAGCCTGGCTGGGTTGATAAGGATTCTGCGGATGGTCGATCCGTTGGAGACTCCACCTATTCACAGGGACGGGGGTACCGAGGGTCGCACTCTTGCCAGGGCCTCCTAACAGGTGGTGAAAGGACATTCCTTAACCTCTAAGGGGCTATTGTTAGACAATTCAAAATTGGGGGCCCTGGTAGGGCAGTGCAACCTATCGCCCGCTGCGCGAGGCCTTCCACGAGCACATCGATAGCTTTGGAGCGTTTCCCTACTTCGATGGCGGTGCCACGACACAAATCAAGGGCTTCCTGTCGGAAGTCATCACAATCAGCGCATACACCCCCTTCGGGCTGGGTAGAGGTTGGGGTCTATGAGGCTTTCCCCCTACGAATCCAAGTTAGCATGTTGCCAAATCCCTGCCTCCCTCCCTCCCTCCCTCCCTTGCTCAATCAAGACAGCGCTATGCAGGTGATGGTCGCCTGACCAAGAAGGGGGAAGGCACTGCAGCTGTTTCTGTGAAGTTTCTGGTGTGGCCTTCCTTGGGCGACGTTTCATGAAGTTGCACTGTGCCTGAAAAAGTACATGTATCTCACTGAATTAAATATATAAATGCATACAAGTACAACTACTATATATATATACACACACACTAGTAACTAGTACATATACTATATATATAATGTTTCAGTGTAAATAGGTTATTGTTTTTTTGCATATCGTATATGCAGGATTCAACTCTTCAACTATTCCATCATTTAAAGGAGGGATATGAGATAACCTCAGCATGTGAGCCTCTTTCCGTGCAAGTTTCGCAGGGAATCACCACAAATTCGGCGTGAACATGGGATGCGCCAAAGCACCGTTTACAGGCTCTGTCGTGCTCAAACAGCAGCTCGGAGAAACACATGTTCTATATGTATATATATATATAGATTGTTCTATGGTATCAGGGTTGTCAAGAACACTCTGTGTCTTCAAGGACATTCATTCTTGAATCCTACGATGAGGTCTTTGTACGACCATTTTGGCAGATGCCGAGGTCTGCCCTCAGCACGGATGGAGAGGTGGATGTGAATGCACCTCCAGATGTGCTAGCAGTTCTGGATGATGGCGTCGACCGAAATTGCAGGCCGAACATGTCGCCGATGGGTAGTATGGTCTTGTCTCGAAACATGCAGCTGGTTTGCTCGGTCAAGATGTTTGCTGCCAGGACTTTGCATGATGTGGTCAAGACAAAGCTGCTTGATCACATTTTGGTGAAATCCTGATCTAAAGTGAGATCGGTGGTCGAAATCAATTCCTGACCCACACAGCTCTGATCTCGAACCTGCTAGATATCACGATATCACCTTCGGACTGGGACCGGGGACGACGAACCGGTAATTGGAGGCAAAGAAGACGCGACCTGGGGGTTTGGTTTTTCGTTTTGGCCGCATCCAGCGCCTTTCCCCGAGCCAAGGAAACGCATCTTTGTGTGTGGCCTCGCCCTTAATGGTCCAGCGGAACAAACATTACAGGTAGCAACTAACTCTACAAACCAAAACACCTGAGACAAACAATCAAGTAATTTAATCACAAAAAATCATGAGAGCTTCCAGTGGGCCCAACCAATGCCCATCAGACAGGCACACGAGTGGTTTGACTCACGTTTTGTAGCGCACAGAAGAAGAGATGCTGTTCCAGCATGTGTGTTGCCCCGACGAAAAGAATATGATGTCGCGTGTAAAAGATTGTAAGAGTATATGCGAACAAAAAGTGTGCGCGGAAACACTACAACAGGAATATGTAAGTACAACAATATGTACGCACACAGTACCCTTTCTAGGATTCGCAAGCATCACACACGAGCGTTCAAACATAGCAAGAGCAAGGCAGAGCCACCATTCGAGACACAACACGTGTTCTCAAGCAGCCTTTTGATCAGACTTACAGTTCAAACTAAGATGCTACTGCAGCTTATGTACTGCCCTATCAAAACAATATGATGTCGCGCGTAGAATCCTGTATGTGCGTACAAAAATGCTTGCAAGCAGTGGCATGTGATGTGGCGCGTGTGAATGAAAT